TTAAATAAAAAGATAAGTTTTTTGTAAGAAAAATTTTTGTGAAAAATTCTTTAGCTTGTTCAAATACATTTTATATAGTATCTAATCATATCTATAGACAGTATTGTACATTTTTAATGTTCAAACCTTTTAAGTGTTTGGTGAACTGTCAACTTTTAATCAAACTTATAAATCTACTCTAAAATGCATATATATATACAAAAACTAATTCTGGACAACTTTAATTAATAACTGAAGGTAGGTCATAATATATTATTCAAAGTTATTTAGTGTTAAACTCAAACAAACTCTGTTTAAGTACTGTTCAAGTTGTTCAAGTAACAATACTGCCTATAGAACACTCTAAAACTTTTTAAGTATGAATTAAATTTGAATTGAAAGCATTAAAGAACAATATAACTATATTATTAAAATAATTTTAAACATATTGGATCTATTTATAGTCTGAATAGTACCATTCTAACAAATAGAAATTATGAGCTTGTACATCAAGTTCAGAGCTTAATATTTTACAAAGTACAATAACTATAGAAAGTTATTGATATATTTTAAAACACAATTTATTTTTAGTTTTAATCATATGAAATTAGATTTAATTATTTATATTAATATATCAAAAGTTATTCTATCTCAAATTAGTTATTTGTAGTTATTATATAATAATAGATGCATATTAAAATGGTGTAAAGAATTTAGATTAAAATGAAAAAAAAATTAGCTACTCATATAATAAATCCAAACTCTAACTATATTATTAAATTATAATACTGAATATGTTTATATACTAGTTTTTTTTAAACTGCTCTCATATATGCAAACATTTAATTCAATTATATATTTCTGTAAAACTAGGCTTTTTTAAAAAGGTAATATATATATATATTTATTTTTTTTACTTAAATTTAAACATTTACCTGCCTAATATTTATTAAAATAATCCATCAAAAATTTTATTTTTTATTAAAAATTAAGGAAGAGAATGCCTTTTCTGATTTGCTAGAAAATCTTCATATTGTATTTAAAAATTTAAATTATTATACCAATAAAGCAACTGTTTATAATAATAATCCACAAGTTGATATTGATAATCAAGAAAAATCTGTAGATATTATTAATTATGAAGCAACTGCCTAAAATAATAACCTTTAAATTGATATTGATATAGTTTCAAGTAATAATCAGAAAATAAATTTTAGTAACCAAGATGCAATTTTGCAAATCTATAAGCAAAAAATTTTTAATTTGTTAGATGAAACAAAAAAATTATTAAAAAAAATATAATGAACCCAAATAGTAACAAATGGCTTAATAGTATTAATAAAAACTTAGAGATAAATTAGATGAGAATTATAATTATTTTAAAAAGTATTAAAATTCTAAATACCTGAAAAACTGTAAACATAATACTTTCTGGCTTTAATAAATATTATATTTATTAAATTTATTTGAAATAAATAAAATAATTAATTTAATACTTGTTATTATTATTTTATTAGTCTATATAATTTTTTTATTTGTATTTTTTGTTTAATTACATGAATTTTTAGTGCTTGATATACATATTATTTGATTTTCAAAACTTTTTTGAGTGGCAATTTTACCTAGTCTCTATTTTATATAGAATAACAAATATGTATATTCTAATCTTAAAAATAATCTTTATCTTAAAATTTTATTTATAAAACTATTTGCTGCATTTTAACAAAAAAATTCTTTGTAAAACTTTAATATAGATTTTTTTTACAAACACTAACTCTAATAATAATTGATAATATTTTTTAAAAACAATATAAATAAATATTTTTATTTTGGGCAGTAGATATATAGATATATCTATATGCAATTTGTTATTTTAAAGCTTTATATAAAGCATAAATATCATCTAGCTTAATAAAATTTAACTTTTATAAAAATTATAATTATAATATTTTAGTATAAAAAAGGGAATTGTTATTCATACCCCCTAAATTTGTTATTCATACCTTCTATCAAAAACAAAAATTTTTAAAACTTTGAGTGATGATATCTTGACAACTACCTGACCAAATTCTATGAACCTTTTTTTTATTTGAATTCTATAGATACATAGAATTTAATTAAAAAAAAGTTTATTGAATTTGATTAGGTGGTTATCAAGATATGTTTACTCAAAGTTAGTGAAAATCAAAATGTCTATTAAAATTAAGGTTGTACTAAACTTTTTTAAAATTTTGAGTAATAATATCTTAACAACCACCTAACCAAATTCAATGATTGTTTTTTATTTGAATTCTATAAATCTATAGAATTCAAATAAAAAAAGGTTTATCAAATTTGGTCAGGTGGCTGTCAAGATATCTTCACTCAAAGTTAGTAAAAAATTAAATCTTCTATCAAATTTAAAGCTTTATTAAAATTTTTTTAAAATTTGAGTGCCGATATCTTAACAATCATCTGACCAAATTTGATGAATATTTTTTATTTGAATTCTAAAAACCTATAGAATTCAAATAAAAAAAGTTCATTGAAATTAGTTAGGTGGTTGTCATGATATCATCACTCAAAGGTTTAAAAAATTTTGATGCAGCCTTATTTTTGATAGATGTTTTAATTTTTTCCTAACTATGAGTGACGATATCTTGATAACTACCTGATCAAATTCAATGACCTTTTTTTAATTTGAATTCTATAAATTTATAGAATTCAAATAAAAAAAAAATATCAAATTTGGTCAAGTGGTTGTTAAGATATCATCACTCAAAGTTTTAAAAAGTTTTGTTTTTAATAGAGGGTATGAATAACAATTCCTAAAAAAATTGTATTTATTTTGTAATCACCTTAGATTAGTTAAAAAGTGCTAGAACATTAAATAATATATGTTAAATGATCTTTTCAGTCATTTAGGGTATTTGAATAACTAATAACTCAAGTTATTTACTATCTCTAAATAACTATAAATATGCAATATAATATATAGCAACTGTATATATGCACAATCTATATTACATATAATATACAGATTTAACAAATAATTGTGATATATATGGGTATTTATTTTTGAACCCAGACCAATTTTATATATGATGTAATAACATTTTGGTCTGAATTCAAAAATAATTACCTATATATATATATAGACAGTAATTTATTTGTTTTTGATTGATTGTGTATTAAAATAAATATAGAACATGATAACATTTTTTTGCTCATAAATAATATAATACATGATTATAAACTTTCATTTTGTAGAATATAAAACATAGTATCTGATACAAAAAAAAGAAGTAAAAGGTTTGTGGTTAGTAGAGAAGTTAGAAAAACTAAGAAAAAGTTAAAACAGTAGGAAGTTGCTTACCACTTTATTAGTTATTTTCTAAGCCAGTTTGCTTTTTATTTGAGTTTTGTTATATATTTTTTTTCAAATTTTATGTGTTTAAAATCTGTATTTAATATTCTCTTTAAAATTTTCTTGATAAAAGCCTGATTCTGTCATTGTTAATTATATCTGAGAAGTTATATTATCACTGTATTTACTGCAGTAAGAATTATATTTGTTTAACTTCTATACATCTTGAATATCCTTCTTTAAAATTTTTTTAAAAAAGCCTACCTCTAATTATAATTGTTTGTCAATTATATTCAGAAATTATACTGTTATCTTATTTGCTACTATTATTGTTTATCGACTATATTTGAAGATGTTACTTTACTGTCCTGTTCATTACAGTAAGCTTTATATTTTTTAAACTCTTATATTTTAAATCAGTGTCAATATTTCTTAGAAAATCCTGATTTAGTCAATGTTTTAAGCTATATTCTGAAAGTCATATATACTCTTGTATAGAAAATTTTAGCTTATTTGTTATAATATACTGAAGTTATTATGTAATCTCCTTTAATTCAAATTATAAGCAATTTTATAATTTATATTTAGAAAGTAAACTTAAATTTTCTATTTGTTAACTTATATTTGGATTTTTATAATCATCTTTTCTAAAGCTGTACCTAAAAATAATAGCTTTTTTGAGTTATTTGCTGATAATATTCTTGTAAATGCAATTGAAGATAATGAAGTTAGCATTGACAGTATACAGTTTGTTAGAAATATATTAGTTTCTGATTTTGAAAACTATACTCCTATTAAGATTAAGGTGGACACCCAGTTTATCTCTATGTTAATTGCAGTTCATTATATAGAGTAATATACTTTTCAAAACTATTTATCTGTTTATAAGCACAAATGTGAGATGTTTGCAGATGGCATCTGCAGAAAAAGAGTTTTTAAATATAATATAAAAGAAAGATATAATAAGTAGTTTCAAGACCAATATTGGGCAAATAATAAAATAAAGAATGCAAAAAACAAGGATGCAAATAGCAAATAAATATAACAAAACTATTAAATTGTTTAAAAATAAACACAACTATCCTATATATATTAGGACTACAAAATTTGCTACTGAATATAAAGGCTTTCATCTTAAAATTATTAAACAAATTAAATATTATATTATATATAGTCAATGTAATACAACAATGATTAGGAATCTTCTTTAGTCTAAATATTTGAAATATGTTTTTCTTACTTAAAATCTTAGAAGTCTATTCAGAAAATAAAACAAAAAAAACAAAATAAACTTAAGTAATACTGTCTCTTTATTAACAAAACTTTTAGAGTTTCAATCTAATAATTCTGTATAGTTTATAAAATTATTAATTGATGATATAAGTAATTACTTAGTTGGTATTTTTTAGATGTTGCCAAAGTACTGTGAAAGATAGGCCAAATTCTATAATATAATTATTCATTAGGGTAGCTATATGATGTAGTCATACTAGAACCAGGAACGTAGAATTTAAGCATAGCAATTATATATAATGAAATGAGCTTTTTTGTTAAAGCAAAAATAATTAAAGTTAGCTATGCACAAATCTATTAATTTGGGAGTCTCATATCTGTGCTTTCAATACTATACAGCACAAGATTCTAACTCCTGTATAATGCAAGAATCTAACACCACATGACACAAGAAACTAACCTTCATACTGTGCAAGAATTCACATTTAGTGAAGCCTAAAAACCTAAAGAAAAAAAAGAAAGTTAATAACAAAACTAACAAGATGAAAAAAAATCAAAGAAAATTAATACCTTATCTAAAAACACCATTTATATGTTTTCTAGTGCTGATTCATTTAGCAAGGCTTAAAAACTCCAAAGAAAAAAAAGAAGTTAGTAACAAGGCTAAAAAAAAAAAAAGAAATTTAAAATCAAAAAAATCCATTATCTGAAAATGTGCATACTGTAACCGTTGATGAGAGAGCTTAATAATATTATATAGATAAAGGACTAATTTAACTCCAATAGTGTACAGAGAGATAAAAATAAACTTAAAAAATGAAGAGTGTTCTTTTAACTGTCAAAGGTCTATTGAGACAATATGATACTGAAATGAAGGCTTTAATATTAAGAGGAATGATAATGAGGTGAAACAATTACAGATGATGCTGTTAAGGATATTTAAATAAGGATGATGAGGTAAAAGCAAATGATGATCAAATAGTAATAGTGATAACTTTAAGTTCATGTGGGTGATTAACAGAGTCAAATAACCAATTATAAGTCTTGTTCTTTATCACAATTCTTGCAAGTCAATAAGGTGAATAGCAATATCTAATTCCACAATAGTTCTAAATCTAAGTCTTAATAAGCCAAATCAAAGTTTCAAGTCAATTCAGTTAGTTGAATTGAGTCCCAAAAGGGTTTATTAAAGCTACAAGTTGAATTAAAAAACAATATGCAAAGGAAGTTCAAATAAGTATATACTTTATTCAAACAAAAACTAAGCAATTATTTAAGAATGAAATGGTATTTTTTATTATTTATAAAATAGAACTAAAAGTTTACACAACTACAGGTGTGATTACACCACCACTGGAATACTTACACCTCATGGAGATGTTTACACACCTATTTTTTAGTATTATGCAAATGCTACAGCAACAGGTTCAAACAGCTATGTATTCATCTTTACATATCTTGAGTAATAGTCATATGATTAAGTTACTAAGCTAATCTTATCATTACATTTTAGTATAAGTCATGAATTTTTCAAAAAGTTGAAAATGCTCTAAATCTATATGGCATTAAAATCATTATAACCTGCTTAGGTTAGTGATTTTTATTAGTTAATTTATTTTCTCATAGATCATCCACTTTTGAATATGATCATTATAATCATGCTATCTAATCAAATGCAAGATTTTGTGAATATGGCATTCTAGATAGTTGTTAATCATTAAGTAACTATGCATGCAACACTCAGTCACTCCAAATCAAAAACTGATAGATATATTATTATTTGCCATATATGTATATACAAGCATTATGGCTTAACAGCTTTAAATATGTATTTGTTTTTTTTGTACTGATAGAAGATTGTCAATTGAAAATTGGCAAGTGACTATATAGAATAAACTAATCAGAACTTTTCATTAGTTAAAAAAAATAAGTCAAATTAAATGTTTGTCGCTTATATGTTATGTATATCCTTATTTACATTATTCATATTGTTAATTGATTATAATGCAAAATCATCAAAGGCTTGGAAGATCATTGATAGAAGAATTAGCAGATGATATATAAAAATACAGATATAGATAAAGTTAACCATAAAGTGCATCAAAAAGGATAATATGTTACACCAGCACAGCAATTTTTGAAATGTGAAATCATAGATTTTATAATGTCTAATCAAATGCAAGATTTTGCAAATGCTATTCTAGATAGCAGATAACTATACACTTTATCTATGTGAATGATTGCATTCCTAGTATAATAATACTGTATGAACTAATAAATATAATTTTCTATTGAGCCTTTTTATTTTAATTGATAATTACAACTGCAGCAAATTGGCAATACAAGTATATATACAAGATGAAATGCAGAAATTATATAAATGGTTGCTTAAATGTTGCTTAGAAGCATATAATATTGCTCTATTGATATTTGTTAAAGATGCAATCTCTGCAATGATTGCGGCTATTTCTATTGTATTTCTCAATACTCATCATATACAATGCTTAAATCATCTTTATTAAAATATTTAAAAAAATCTTAGTTCAAGCTTAAGTACACTTTATAAAAATTTTTTTAAAAACTTTAAAAGCATTTAGTATTTATATTGTAAAGAGATATTTGAATGAAGAACCCAAGATCTGATTAAAAAATATGCATTAGAAAAAGATATATAGCTATAATGTTGTTAGATAAAAAGTATACTTGAATAAAATTTTTTATATCTTGATGTTTTATAGCAAAAATAAAATCTACACAATGTGCTAAGTCAAAAAATGTATTAATTCAAAAAGTTATATTATCAAGCTTTAACCTTTGGAAGTTCAAGAAGTCTTAGAAAACTAACCTAAATTTGGGTTTATTAATAATTGTTACTCAATTTGAAAAGCATTAACAATACAATATACACAATCATTTATTATTTAAATATTTTTAATAGTATTGAATATATACTAAATAAGTATCTTATACAGCTAATTTATGATGTATATTACAAACATATATATTAATTTGTATGTTATTATACATATAAAGTATCAATTTTTAGATATTTTATTAACTAATTATGATTTATTCAAATTATTTTTTAAAAATAAGCCTGATAATACCTTTAAAATTTCTGTAAAAGATAATGAAGATCATGAAATTAATTTGCAATCTTTAATTGCAATGGTTGATTATAAAAAGATTTTGTAAATTGGAAAAGTTTTTCAATATAATTATTTGAAATATTATTAACACATAATTTTACTTAGTAATAGAGAGCACTTATGCATATGTTTTATATTTGTCATTCATGGAATTATATACAGACATTTTTTTAAATTTTTTACAGTATCTTCTAAAGTATATTTTTATCTAATATTAATTCTTAATCAATAATATTAAGGTGAATATATAAATTCAGATAAGAACTACCTTAACGAAATAGTTGTAAACAATTTTAGTTATAATAATATCCTGATTATTTAAATATTTATTTGAAAATATACTATAACAATATTATAAACAAATATCAAAAAAAGATTGAAATACAGTCAAACTCCTCTATAATCACACCTTTGAGATACAAAATACTGTGATTATAAAGAGGTGTAACTAATATAGAGGTATTTTCTATATAGCTATAAATAATTGGTAAAAATAAATAAGTAATTATGCCAATTTTGTGACTATAGAGGAGGTAACTATAGAGAGGTTTGACTGTATAATATTTTGATGGGTGAAGCTAAAAGAGCATTTCAATATACAGTCAAATCTCTCTATAGTCACCTCCTCTATAGTCACAAAATTGGTATAATTACTTATTTATTTTTACTAATTATTTATAGCTATATAGAAAATATCTCTATATTAGTCACACCTTTACAATCACAGTATTTTGTATCCCAAAGGTGTGATTATAGAGGGATTTGACTGTACAATGAAAAATAATAACAATGAGTTAAAGCAACTATTAAGAAATTTAATAAACAAAAACAAGATTAACAAATTCAAGCAGAATTAAATAGACAACAAAATAGTCAAATAATTTATAATGAGATTTTACTTAATTCTACACAGGTTTACAGTTCTTTCTATTTTTAGTAATTTTTCAAAATACTTATTCCAAAATATTAATCAAAAGGAAGGCTACTATTAAAATATTTAAAAATGTAAACTAAAATTCAAAAACATCAAAAATATCAGATACACCTAATGGTGATAGGTGTCACAAATGTGAATTATATAGAGAAAACAGACACTATTGTAATACTTGTTCTGCAACAATTTAATATACTAAAACTCTTTCCCATAGATCCCAATTTTATAAGAAATATAAATAACAATTCAAAATACGTTAATATTATAATTAATTAAATAAATAAAATACAGACTGCTTCAAAGAACCCAAACACAACACAACACAAGATATATACAACAAACAACAAACATAAAGCGAAAAAGAGTAGCAATGACTACACAACAAACAACAACAAAGAGAATACAAGGCCCTCGGGCCCTATTACACCATTTACTCTAAACATACAACCACAACTTCAAATAGGCAACAACAACAATACTAACAATAGCAACAACAAAGGAAAGAAAAGATACAAATTATACCTGATTCCACCTACACCAACACAAGTACCAAAAGATGGCGAATGCTTCTTCCAAGACACTCCTCAATACAAAAAGTGGGCAATCTAGCTTACCCCATCAAAAAATGTGATGACATTATCATTGATCAACAACAACAACAACCAAGTAACACAAACAGGTTTTGACAACATCCAAACCAGTACGGTGGGAAAAAACAAAAATACAACCCAAAATAACAACAATAATATGCAAACACCCCAAGACAACAACCTTAAAATAGTCAATATACTAGCAACACCTGACCCTAATACAATACAGGACCCACAAAACAAAATAGAAACTAATTCAGTCTCAACAATCTCTGCAAACTACGATACTCCAAATATACTTACCTATAGCCAAGCCGCAAAACAAAATCTTACCAGAAATCAAATGCAGCTCGATGAAGATCCTACTTAAAAGTGGCTAGAACACATACACACAGAACTTAACAAAAAAATCTCACAACCATATGACAATACTATATAGCATTACAATAAATTAATTAATAAAATGCAAACCAACACAGGAATACAAGAACTTATACAATACAAATTTAAAACTAAACTGATACACAACAGCATTCCTCCAGCAATCCAAGCAAAATTCAAACACTTGGACCATACCTTCTTTCTTACATTCACTAGAACGAAGAGATTTATGCCACAACACTAAAATGAATATGAAGAGCTATTTGACAATGCACTGCAAAATTACAAAAGCACAAATCAAATTACTATTACTAACAAAGAAACTAGAGATGCTATACACCTAAAACTTTGACAAAAATTATTCCTTAATTTTATAACCAACACCAACTTTAGCAGCTGCCCTCCAAAACATATGCGACTAATCAAATATTACAAAAGATTTACTAAGGACACAACTTTAAACACCTATGATGAAATTCAAAAGGCAGTCCAAGCTGCAATAAATGAAAGATTACAACTTCTATCTGATCACCCCAATGATATTCCTGAACATATACAACAAATACTACCATTTACTTTACCTATAAAAAACAAAGCACAAACAAAAGCTATTGTAACTGCCCTCCATCACTTATACCAATTCGACAAACTATCAGAAAACTACTTTATAAAGCTCGATCCTCTTCCTACTCTTCCTGAAAACCTTCATCCAGCAGTACATGAACTGTTTTCAATCACTGACAGATGAAGCCTGAGAGAACTTAGCTATTACAGAAGACAACTACAACAATACTATGAGTTTACTTCAATTCTAGTGAATTACTTCAACTTGCTACCTCCCAAGTTACCTCTACCAACAGCTTATCAGGATCTTAATCACAAACACAGAATATACTTTCCACTTAATCCAAATGACTGCTGAGGAGATAATCAACAAACTATAGAAAGACTATGTGAAGATTACACCTTTAGAATACTTTTACATGATTACTATGATGCTAAACCACCACTATCCAAAGACTTGGCCAAAATCAAAACAACAAACAAATATAAATTCTCAATTACTAACAAACAGGAAGCTATAAACTTTATTCACAAAATCAGCTCTACTTACAAATTAAACATACCACTTCCACTCAAAATAATGACAGCCAACCCCACAGACAAACCTATACTTCCTGATGATCCACAAGCTATTGCGAAATACAGTATCACTATACCTATCACATCAAGTAAAACCCTAACTAAAGTACCAAACTACTAAGATCAACCTACTACTTCTACAAAATCCCAACCACATGGATCCAGCTTAAGACTGATACAAATAGCCATAATACAAATATGGCAGAAACAACAAAACCCACAATACCAGACAAAATAGAAAAATTTACAAGTATCTGCAAAACAATAATATCAACACATCAAAATAACACTACCTATTACCGATCAAACAATAGTAGCTAAAACTCTCAAAATCTTATGCCACAACTTTACGATCAACAATATTCCAGACTCAATCTTAGCACTTCTACCTCTTCCAAAGCCAACTTGGGAAATATTTCTACATACAAGAAGAAACAAGAATATTAATAAAATAGATCATATAACAACTACAAATATAGCAATGCAACAAACTAAGTCTTCTATACAAACAGGAAACTTATCCAAATCTCTCACATATAGTATAGTTTAGACGAGGCTTTGGCCCCTCTTAACAAAGTTTGGGTTGTGGATAAAGTAGCCCAAGTCTTAGTTTAGCTAATAGAGTATATGTCATGCACTTCTTTGTAAATGTAACCACATAACTTTTATAACTAATAAACTCAGGCAAGACCTTGCTTTCAAAACTAAAAAAAAAAAAAAAAAAAAACAATTTAATATACTAGATAGACATACATATATGCCATAAAGGCAAAAATAAGTATATATTGTTAACAATAATGTGTTAGAATATGTGAATCCTTTTTAACAATTGTTATTCTATTTGTATTTTGTATATCTCACATATTACAAATTATTGTTTATAAGTATTTGTTAACATATGTGCTTGGTGCATTAATCCTTTTAATGCAATTTTTGATCAATCAAATATTGTAGTATATACCATTATATTTGGGTAATTATTGATCTTTTTCTTACTCAACATATGCCAACCAAATATTTTTAACCAATTTATTAACTCTTTATAAGTAGGGTAGATATAATGATAATGATAAGTATTTTAGTTATTAATTTGTCTTTAACTTGTAATTAAACCCGTTACTAACAATTTTCTGCTAAATGTAGGTTATATTTTGTACTTTATAACTTTATATAAATTAGTTGATATCGTACATACATTCGGAATACACTTATTTTAGCGAGTAATACAAACTCCTAAAAAGGAGATAGCCAATCAGAGAGTACAAATTTTGACTATTTCAGATAAGAAAAAGCAAAAATATTCAAAAACTAGCTTTTAAATCCACCTTGGTGCACTAATTAAAAATGTTGGAAATAAGATTTTACATATAGTGAATATTAATTTTTTTCTATAGCCTCTAATGTTAAGGCCCTAACTCTAAATTTTATTTCACGCACTTAGTTTTTTTACAGAATCATATTTTCTTTTATGGTTGTATTACTCGTAAAAATAAGTTAAATCCATACATTTGTACATTTGTATGACAGTAATGATAAGTATATTTAACTTGTATGTAATTAAACTTGTTACTAACTATTTTTATTGCTTAATTTAGTTCATAATTTGCTTTATTGATGTGCGTATATTCGTAGGTTTTTATATATTGTGTCAGCAAAAAAAAAATAAAAAGTATTCAGTAAAATAGTACTGTACGGCAATACAGATTTGAACGGACATACGAAAATTATATATACTAAATTTTAATGGTACGTATAGTTAATATAAACTTGCAAATTCAATTTTTATATGTAACGATAAGTACCCATTTTTAACTATTAGGTTTCATGTGAATGCTAGTATTGTCCTGTTTAATATTGGGGTAGTAGGAAAAGTAAATTGTGTTTGACGTTTTTCTTTTACAAACCATACATATTATCAGGATTTTTACACGTCTGTTCTAAATTTGCGTTTCTTTACTGTATGCTATTTACCGTAGAGTAGAATAGGTTGTGTTATTACATAGCTACTGGTATTGCTGAGTTAATTTGCTTCTAAATATTACATTTGACTATGTTTATTTAATTCTGTTAAGGTTATATAACACATTTAAACAGAAGGTTTTATTAGTATATACTGTGTACGTATTATACATACATAAAATGCCTTGAAGCAACGAACAACTATCATTTATCTTACTAAAAGCACTAGTATTGAAAATTAAAATTATAGTAAAGTTAAAAAATAGTTTATATTTATTAAAACTTTGTTATATATATATGTATGTTTTATATAATATAAAATAATATAAAAATTTTATTTTTAACTATATGGGTGAGGAATATCAAATATCACTCTGGGTGAGGGGAATAAATTTACTCAATAATTAATACCTTAATTATAATGTTTATTATAAGTTATACAATCTCAATATATTATATATCCTTAATATTGTTATTTATAAAAAAAATTAAGTTGTTATCGATAATATTAATACAGATCTCTTGGTTTTTTACACTATTGATTATTTCTAAAATTTTCAATTTTTATATCAATAAATTTAGGAATATACATCATATAATCATGTTTTTGTATAATAATTGGCAATTCTGTGATTGATTTATCAGCTTCTAAAAATTGCTGTTTGATCTCTTCATCTGAATCAATACATTGTTTGTCTAATTTGACATTATTATCATTGACTATAATTGTACTCCATTTTTTAAGTTGATCAAAAATCCCAACAGATTTAGATCTTTTTTTCATATCTGATTTAACGTTACTATTATTGGTGGTTATGATGTTTTTCCATTTTTTAAGCTTACGAAGAATCTCAACAGCCGTAGGTCTTTTCTTTACATCTGAACTAATACATTGCTTATAACAATCCGGAGTCTTTATAATAAATTCAGGTCGTAATTCATGACATATCATCGCCGCCAATTCAGCATCAAAATTGTAACCATCTAAAGGTCTTTGGCCAGTTAATATTTCTATCATAATAATTCCAAAATTGTAAATATCAGCAGCTTGTGTAAACTGTTCACCTTTCAAGACCTCAGGTGCTAAAATATGGCAACACTCCATAAATATGACCATCTTGTTTTCATCACACGATATTGATGAATCTAAATTAATATGAGCTTCATATCGTTCTTTTAGTAAAATGTTACCAGAATGTAAATCTCGGCGCATAAAGTTATTAAAATGTATATTTGATAGATCATAAATAATATCACATAATATTTTTAGTTTGATTTTCCATTCCAATTTAAATATATCTTTAAGATTTTCGTGTAATGATCCTAATTTTGCGTCATTTAACACTAAAATAAAATCTTCCGTATTTTTATTCATTAGTATGCCATAGTATTCACCAATTTCGTGATACACTTTTACCTAAAAGTAAACAAATTATATTTGATTAATTCATATATAATATAAATTTACGCGTGTAAATAAAATAAAACAAAATAAAATACCTCGTCTAAAAAATCAATTTTATTTTTATGCGAATCTTTAATGACCTTGATTGCAACTTCTTCAAATGTTCCATATGCTGTTTTATACACTACGGAAAACCTACCTTTAACAAAATCTTCAATATTTATAAGATTATCGTATTTTATCCATTGGAAATAGTTTTTATGAATTCTACAGTTGTGTCCAGCCATAGCAGATTTTAAATACCATTCAAAAGCCAAATCTTTATTCTTTTTTACACCAATTCCTTCCTGAAAACACCAACCAACTTGATGCATTCCACAGTAATTTCCACATTCAGCACTTTATAAATAATATTCTAAGGCCTTTTGATTATCCTTTTCAACTCCAATTCCACGTTGATAACAAATTCCAACATTATACATCCCAGAAGTGCATCCTATTACTGCACCTTTTTGACAATAAATAAATGCCTTATTTTTATCCTTTTTAACTCCAATTCCGTGACTATAACAATATCCAACCTGAGTTATTCCAGTAGCATCCCCCATATTTGCAGATTTTTGAAAATAAATAAATGCATCATGTTTATTCTTTTTAACTCCAATTCCATCTCGATAACAAATTCCAACTCAAATAAACCAAGAGAATTACCCATATTAGCAGATTTTTGATAATAAATGAATGTCTTATGTTTATTCTTTCAACCCATTTGCCATAATGATAACAAGTTGCAAGAATGAATTGAATCATAGAATCGGATTGATTATCTAAGCAATATTTAATGATATTATCGGGATTTTGCTTTTTTTTTACTAGAATTTGTTCTAAGGCGTCAATACTTGAATTTAAACTTTTGCCTTTAATAGCTTCTTCATTATACAAATCATACATATCTTTAATAATTTCATTAAGGAAATCCTGTGACTTATTATCTAAATACAATTTGTCAAAATCTTTGGATGCTTTAGCAATATCTGATAGATTGTCGACTTCCTCTGTCGTTTTACAATTGACATTTTGACGTAATGAAAGAATATGTTATATATATAGACATATCAAATTTATTAGGATTTACTAGTGTAATAGGTGGCGCGAAGCGCCACCCATTCTTTTGTAATTCTTTTTAGCTCTTTCAGCATGATATGCTTGTAACAGAGCATGTTCGATAATTACAATTAAATAGATCGATTATATTTGAGCTTATTGTTTTTATTTTTGCCGATTAGATGATTTAACAAATTTACTAAGAAATGTGTTGGAATAAATAGGTTGATAAGTACATTAATTTTAGAGTTTTTTTTTTTAGTTTGACATAAAGTATCTGTTTTGGGTACAATCTTTATAAATTACTTTGAATTGTAAAACAACAAATATATTTATTTGAAATAAAAGCTGAAAAGTTTACATGAAGGGTAATTATTATTGACATTGTTTAAAAAATAAATTTTATTTTTGGGACAGTAAAAAAAATAAATAAATTTATCTAGTAATAATATAAAATTTAGAAAATGGCTTGCATAGTAGAAATAGTAAAGAGAGAAAAGTGGTGTTATAAGGAGTAAAGCTATAAGTAGATCGAGATGCTAAAATTTTATTTTTCATCAGATTCGATATCAACAGTTGAATATTGTAGATTTTTTGCATTACGTGTAGATCTAATGGGAAGTTCTTTAATTTTTGTTTGATTGTGTACACAATTTTTTTGAGACTTATTTTTTTTAGCTGGTTTTTCAGGTTCCTCCTGATCGTGTTTAGTAAAGATAGTTTTGTTAGTTTCAGATTTATAATTATTGTTGTTATGTTGGTTAGTTTCTTCAGATCTTCTGCATTTTACTAAAAGTTCACTTTCAATATCACTCGAAGTTGTTGCTGGTAGTGTTTGGGTTACGGGTGTATCTTTTAAATTTTTGGTAATGTTTTGGTGAATGTTTAAAAGTTTGGATCTTGTTGGATTAGTTGAAGTCGATTGGGATTGGAAGCAATTTGTTTCAGAATTTTTTTTTTAACAGTAATGTAGTTAATATCTTTTGCATTAACATAGAACTTATTATCTATAATCTCCATTTGGCCGACTACAAAGATAATTGACTCCTGTGATTGAATAGTTGTTTTAAAATGTTCAAATTGGGAGTTAGTATGTGGGATAACTACGTAAACCATAAATTCATATTCTTGAGTAATATAGTTAGCTATAATCATTTCTAATACAGAATCATCAGTATTTTCAATAGTATTTAGCTTTTCTTTTAGAGATCCAATTAATGATACTTTTAAAGGGCATTTATTCGATTCAGAAGTTTTATCACCAATAATTAAGTGAGTTGAGGTTGCGACTGACATCTAAGTATAGCATCAATAATTTGTATTGTTATTTGTTTACTACAATTGATATTAATAAATAACAATTTGTTATAATAGAACCGTTATTATAGTTGTACAGTTTAACCTCTTTACAGTCACGCCCCTGGTTCCAAGAAATATGTTTGTTTAAAAATTAGTGTGCTTATAAAGAAGGAGTAACTATATGGAGAGTGACTGTACGGAGGGCAGACTGTACATGTTTTATCATTACCTTTGGCCTAATACTTCCAGCATAGTTATTAGGCACGATTTTCCTACCAACTGAATAATATTCATCTTTTTTAAAAATAGCTTGTGTTTCAGGGTCTTGTTCATTAGGGTGGCATGGTATATACAAAACAACTTCTATCTCATTATCTTCACGTCCTACAGGATATAGCCCAATAGTCCATACTGAAATTGATTTTGCATCTGAGTGCTCCAAGGGTAAGCTTAAACCGGGAATTTAAATTTATTATTGATTATTTGCCAGACTTTGCCATGAACGAA